GTGAAACCGTTACCAGTGGAGTCCAGTCCATGTCGGGTAGACACAGATATCTACCTTAGACAATGGATGAGTTGTTGTGCAGCCATTCATGGATTGATGAAAGTTAGACAGTAACACCGTTTGATGCCGACTCAATGGTCTAATGTACAGAGTGAAAATCTTATTTTTTCTGCAATCTAATAGTTGAATTCATGAGTCGACTCAAGCCAGATCACCATGGAAAACCTGGACGACCATTTCATTTCAGTAATGGGACCCCCCGGAAATTTGCATCCACGATCGCGCATGCGAGACTCGAACCCCAAACCTTTGGCCTCGCACGCAGATGCCTAACCTCTAGACTACTGGGTCGGCATCCAACGGTGTTAATGTGTAATTTCAACCAATCTACGTAATCGTCCCACCGTCCACCATTGTCTGCAGTGAGTCATGCCTCACAACAAACACGGTAGAACCCCACTGGTCACAGTTTCTTACTAGAACTCCAGGAAATAAATTGTGAAGACAGTCACTAGTGAGGTTAAGCGTCCAAGCGAGAGACTGAAAGTCCCGGGTTTGTATCCCCAGTACGGGAGTGTGTACGTGCACTGCCAAGAGTTCCCTTACTGGAGAGAGACGACCGTCTATTGCTTCCAGATTTTCAATGATGGTCTAAGATTGTTCGGTCCATGATCTCAATCAAATACATCATTGAAATTATTTAATTATCAAAAAATGACTAAAAACTTATGAAATTCTAAATATCTATTTTTTTGAAGAGGAATTAAAATCAGGAGCTGTTGTCATTTTGGATGAGTAACATAAGATATCATGAAGTACTGAATAGTAACTTCACATATAAACAAATTAATGACTATGAACTCCCATTTATAAGTACATTATGATTTATCTACTGAATTTATACTAGAAGTCAATGAATTATTTATCTAATCAATTACATATATATGCATAATTCATCTGGTACTTTGGTATGAGCCATTTGAAATTTTGTGTCTGAAAGCCGAACACTTTAACTACTAAACCATTCTTCCTGTCTAATAAATGTTGAGTTTTTGAATATTATCTCTAACTAGTAAGTTAAAACCAACTGGCCTGAAATATCTTCATTGCTATTTTCAGAGAATAAGTATACTAACAAAACTCATCTTAATTCTACAAAATTTATTCTGCATAAATTTAATTAATACCATCATCTTACTGTGAGTAGATTATATCAGAAGCAGTGGAATTCAACTGTTCAATTGTTTTCTTTTATACTATGATTCCCAACTAATGACTTCGTGTTATGTTTGAAGAGATTACAAGATCGCCTAAATCGGTGAAAGGTATAAAGACTTAAAGGCATAATGACAAGTTAACTATTCTGATGCATTCCGGCCCCGCTAACTAGAGAGAGGAGTCCAGGTTCAGAAGAGGGAAAGTATATTTCGCAAGCAGTGAAAAGTACGAACAACAACTAGCATAAGTCTAGCGTATATATACAGCATAAAAATATCCATGGGAAACGTCATAAAATAGCTTATTAAAAATACAATGAACCAATTATATTTAGGGCCCTTCCAAGTAGAAAATGCAATCTGAAGGTAAAAATTGGAGCATTTGGTATGACAACAAGAAATTCGAATTTCCAAAAATAGAATTACGAAAATAAGATGTTAACCAAGTGAGCTCCGGGGATCTAGTATCCTCAACACTTCGTGATCATAACCAAGAAATATCCATAAACTAAAAACCTTTACATTTAAATCTTACCCAAAAGATATTTATAAGCAAAGATGGATAGAGGCTAGCAATGAAATCCAGTTTGACGCGCGTTTCGTCCTATTTGGGACTCTTCAACTGGATATACCTGCATCTCAGAATTGATGTTCCTTCTGAGACTCGAACTCGGTACCATTAATAATGACAAAAATGGATCAATCTGATCGTGTATTCTATTAAAACACCAAATAGACATATCAATTTAACCGTAATAATAAATGCCATCTAACTCATAGACATGAACAATTGAAAATTCTACATGGTTTTATACATAAATAAAGAGAAAATAAAATAAACATTAAGTAAACAAATCAATAAGTAATATTCTGAAAATAATTACATAATCCATATCAGTTTACAAACAAGATCAGATTAATACAGAAACCAATATTACAACATAAAGAACAGAGGTATACTGCTAGATTGTCTAGAAAAAGATCATAATAGTTGGATTCATGAGTCGATCTAAGCTAGACCACTATTGAAAATCTGAAAGCAATAGATGGTCAAGTCTTCCTAGTATGGGACCTCTCAGCAATTCACATCCACAATCCCACACATGGGATACCAAAAAGAATGTCGGTCTTGTGCACGAACTCTTAACCTCTTAATTGCTGACATTCACTAGTGAGCATATGATGATTATCAGCATAGGTTTGTGGAAATTGTTGAGCTTTAATTGACATCATGAGTCGGTCAATTTTGGACTATCATTGAAAACTTCAAAGCACTAGTGACTAGCTTCGAGAGGTATTTCTCGGAATTCTTGTCAGAAGCCATGATCAGTAGTGTTCTACGGTGTCGAGTGTGAGGCAATCATACATCGAAGACAATGGAAGATACTCGCACAATATCGTGGATTGGTTGAAGTTAGACGATAAGACCGTTGAAATTCGGCCCAGTGGTTTAGAGGTTAAGCGTTCGTACACGAGATCGACGGTCCTGGACTGTGTGTGTGCACTGCTGAGAGGTCCCATAGTGGAGAGAGACGACCGTGTATTGCTTCCAGATTTTCAATGATGGTCTAAGATTGATTAGTTCATGATCTTAATTAAAACTCAACAACCTCCACAAATCCTCATTCTGAAAATATATTGTTCATAAATTATTTTGAATGAACATTTGTCCCATCGATTACAGTGATGCGAAACAGTACTCAAAAACCAATAATTTTTGTTAGGAGGATTAATTATATCCATTAGAAATATTAATATTGCATCGAGAGATAATTCTAATACTGTTAATCATCCGTAACCACTGAAAATGAAACAGAAACAGAAAGCGGAAAACAAAAACATCAGAAATTTATATGTTAGATCAGTAACTAAAGATGCGCTAAATCGTTTCGTGAACTATTGATTTGCATAGATATTACTTGAACTAATTAAGTTAATTAGGGATAGTGTAAGTGTAAATTATCTACAAGAAGGAAGTTTAATAAGTATCCTCAGTGATAACGATGATCAAACGTTTAATGTCTTCCATAAGTTCACTAGTGGAATAGGATATTTTCACATGTATAAGCATTTTTACGACAGTTTCAGAGGAAACGCAGTTGTTGATGTAGTGAACAAACGGTATTGATTTTGTTTGGAGGATAGATTCTGGTGAACGACTTCAGAGTTTTGATACTTCACTTGCAAAGTAATTCATATGGCGAGAAGATAAGTAGTTGGAGGCATTTGGCAAGAATCCCTACTCTATGTAAGTTCTATGGCAACTGAAAGTCGTCTGTATGTCATGACGTACTTTTGAAGAGACTGAGATTCCTCAAGGGATAATGAATCAGTAAATCGATTCACAACGGTTGATAGTCATAAACTGGTTTTTAGCGTTCTCATATTTTAATAGTTGAATTCATGAATCAGTTGAAGCTAGATCACCATGAAAAACCTGAAAGCACTGGACGACCGTTTCGCCTTAATATGGGACTCCTCAACCCCGTGAGATTCAATTTAATATATACTAGACAGTTTTTAAAATAATGCAAACGATAAACGACACGTAGATGGATTATTCCAACCCATCATGCATAAATATCTATCAAAAATGATGAAAAAAGTAAGCAACTTAGGTAAGTGATTTTACTGACATTGTGCTCTTTACCTTAAATGGTTTAAATGAAAAGCTTTCAATGTCCTTAGAATAGCATTATTAGCGCTCATCTCATATAGGCCCAGTAAACAGTTATTTACGCCTGTTACTCCCAATGAAGCATAAGTCGCCGACCAGCATTCTCCAACCAACTCTGTCCTGAGCCTCCCTTTCCAGTTCTATCCTATTTTTGCTCATTCCTCTTATATCTGTCTCTATTTCACGGAGTAATGTGTCCTTTGATCTCCCTCTCCTCGTTTGACCTTGAGGATTCCATGTGAGGGTTTGTGACGCCTTGTGACGCAATCGGGTGCTTTCTTCAATATGTGTCCTATCCACTTCCAGCGTTTCTCCCTGATTTCTTCCTTCTCTGGGATATAGTTTGTTCTCTCCCATAGTAGGTTGTTGCTGATAATGTTTGGCCAACGGATCAGAGGTATTTTGTGTAGATAACTGTTAATAAACACTTGTATCTTCTGGATGATGGCTTTCGCAGTTCTCCAGGTTTCCGGCCCATACAGTAGAACTGTCCTGACATTTGTATTGAAACTTCTGACCTTTGTGTTGGTTGACAATTGTTTTGAGTTCCAGATGTTCTTCAATTGTGACGCCTTGCGACGCAGTTGGGTGCTTGCCTCCATGTGTGTTTTATCCACTTCCAACGCTTCTTCCTGATTTCTTCCTCTATTTCGATCTGCTTTATTCTCTCCCACAGTAATTTTTCAGTAAAAAAGACATTACCATCAAAATATGATCTATCTCTTCTAACCTTTCAAATAATTTGAATGATTTTACAGTAGTTCCGTTATTTTGTTGTTGTTCTTGTTGTTGTTGTGCTTTTTTTAAGGTCACTTATTATCTATCACGTAGTGACTAAACATTTACTATAAGAATATAAATTCATAAATAATTCTATACAGATAAATGTTATTTATTTTTCATCAATTGGTTTATTCATTCTATGGATTAAATGAATAATGAACTGAGAGAAGATTAAATGAACATGGTATAATCTAAGTTAACTATTATTATCATCATTAATGTAAATCTCTTTTGTCTTTTTTTATTGGATCATGCATAATCATGTATTGATCATATAAACAGAACCCATTTTACATTGACATGTTTTAACAGAAATTCAACTTATGAACTGTATAAACTGTTATAGTATCCTTAATAATAATAATAATAATAATAATAATAATAATAATAATAATAATAATAATAATAATAATAACAATAATAACAATAATAATAATAATAATAGCAATAGTAATAATAATAATAATAGTAATAATAATAACTTAATACTCATTTCATTATTTTTAGATTTTAATGATAAGTAGACGACCTAAATCTAAACTTCATCCGAAATTTTACATGAAAAAAAAAACCAAACGAAAATATGAATGATAAAGATTGTAATTAGAAGATTTTCATAGTGGTGATCATGAAGCTAGATTACCATGGACAATCTGAAAGTATTGAATGATCGTTTCTTCCTATTGTGGGACTACCAAGCAATGTGCAACGACGATTCCGTCTCGTACGATTCGAACCAAGGACCTATCGGTGTCGCATGAGAACACGTAACCAATAGACTACTGAGATGATCGGTATCCAACGGTGTTAATGTCTAACTTTAACTGATCCACGAAATTGAGTGACACATCTACTATTGTCATCAGTGAGTTACTATCTCACAACAGACTCGATTGAACTCCACTGATCACTGCTTCTCACTAGAACTCTAGAAAATACCTCTTGAAGCCAGTCACTAATGAGCACATGTTGATTCATATCAGAAGGGTTTTGTGGATATTATAGTAATTTCAATGATTGAGATCATGAGTCAATTGAAACTAGACTACCATGAAAAATCTCGAAGCATTGGACGGCCGTTCCGCCCTATTGTGAGACTACCAAGCAGTGCGCATCCACGATCCCGTCTCGTGAGATTCGAACCCAGGACCTATCAGTCTCGCGCGTAGACTCATCCAACGGTGTTTATGTCTAACTTCAACTAATGCAGTAAATTTTTACATTTTGATTTTTACAATTGATTGATCACTGGGTGATAATCAATGTCATGTATGTCAAGTCCTTCTTAGTACAGATCGAATCCTATCGACTAAGTTGCAATGTGGCTATCAGTCTAGGTGACTCAACAGTGTATGCACTATGTTGAGATAAGATGGTGGTATGAAGTGGTTAACAAGAAACCCTGAACCTAGGTTTCATGCTACTTGAAAAAATACAATAATTAAACATTCTTATCATGTTAAACTACATAGATCGTAATTATCCATTCTATATTGTTTTGTATATTAAATAACTTCTTAAAATTCTTATTTGGGATTCCTTGAAGGGGAACATCCAATACATCACAAATAATTGAAATCAATTTATAATTTGAGCTCATTTGTGATATTGATTCATACTTAGGTTACTTGATTATCATTAAATATAGTCATCAGTAAGAATTTGAACATGTTATCTAGCAACCAGCTAGTAATAAGTAAGTTATTATTGTTACCATTCAGGAAGGTGTTTCATGCAGAGATTAATCTACTGTAAAAATGATTTTAACTCCGCCTGGAGTCCCTCCGGAGGCTACTGCCGGTCCCAAGCCCGGATAAAGGAGGAGGGTTGGGGATGAGGTTAACGACCCCATCCCGTAGGAAATTAACTAGCTGAAAAAAACGCTAAAAGCGATTTTAATTACAAATTGGTATCAGTTTAAAAAAAGTATGTTGAAGTTTCTATTTTATATAATATCTTTCTTAGACTACTATCAAAAAACCAGGAAGCATGAGATAATTGTATTATTTTAGTTCAGGACTCCTCAGTAGTGTACACCTACCACTTCACAGTAAATCAAATCTAGGGCCTACGATCTCAGGACGAGTGCTTAATCTGCAGATCAGTGTTAATGATGTAAACTGTGAAAATCCAATAGTCGCTACAAAACCCTCTAATCTAATTAAGTCTTCCTACTCTGAAATTTGTTACAAGCAATATCATAATGGTCAATAATTTTATAATTATAAACAGGACAGCAAATGAATTCCACCTGTTATAACTTGTGGGTTTGTGTCCCTATCAATGTATAACGTAATGATACTACCAATTGGAGAGCAGTGATTTATCGACCGGACTAATAACGCACAAAACCCATACGAGTAGTCTAGAGTCTTTATCGATGCTGCCTAGCCCTGTCTGTTTTGTTTAGAACACCAATCTCAGCCTCTGCTATATGAATCATATATTTCAAACATACTGGGTTTATATGCCAACCAAACAGACTACAGCGTACCATAAAGTAGAAAACAACATTTGTACAAGATTTAGCCAAAAGTGGCTGTGAATGTAGAAGACTGAATTAATAGACCGGGTATAATTCAAGAATGGTAAAACGTATAATAATAGTCTATGGGTCAAAATAAAGCTTATGATAAAAGGAACACGAATATGAATAGTTTAGTTACTTAACGACTAAATATATGTATAATATTAGTCCAGAAATAGGTTCCAACAGTCACCACTCATTATTCTCATCGCGATATAACTCCCCCCGAGGCGTACAGAACAAGCTGTGAAACGCAAATGGAGAAATTCGAACACTTCACTTCTATCTGAAGCTCCACGACCAAACCATCGAGCTCAGAGAACAAAACTCCGTCAAGATAATAATAGCTAGTTTATAATTTCCGAAATGTTTATGTTTCAAGGTCTCTATTGTTGCGCATCACATGAAATATTATTTTTAGAAAGTCAAATAATTATTTAGTTAGTGAGAATAGGAGTATATTTCGGCTTTTAAATTCATTAAGTTCAATGAATTGTCAGGTAGGAACTTAGATAGAAATCTCCATGACCTTCACCAAATTTAAAATAAATCATCAACTCCATACAAAACAGATTAAAAGATGAATATTACTGATTGTATGAATTTCACTTTACAAGTCAATGATATTCAAGACTGAATTTGATCAGTTTCTGTAAGCATATCCATTCGGGTAATGGTGATCGTTATCAAACAGTTAAACACTGTTATTGTGACATAATATTACAATGTATGATATTGTAACATCTGAAGTGAAGGGTACTTGATTCGAGTTTCAGTGAGACCATTTCCACTAAAAAGCAGGTAGACTTTACGGATGAATCCTAACTGGAACAATTCCGACCTTTATACATATATCGTGATATTACAGAGCTTACAACCACAGCTTCCTAACGATAGAGCTTCCAAGCACTTGATATCAAGACAACGTACATGACAGCGAATCACTTAGACCAGTGACCACATTGTAACTTAATCCTATAAAATTTGATTAGCACTAACGATCAGAAATTTATGATATTTGGGATTATTCAATGATGAATCAACATATTTCAACATTTTATACGTGGTTAATAAAGTAGTTTTCTGAATAAAACTTATGGGAATTGAAAATAGTAACAATGAAATAATATCAGAAGGGGTTTTGTGGAGATTTTAGAAATTTCATTGATTGAAATCATGAGTCAATTGAAGCTAGACCACTATGGAAAACCTGGAAGCACTGAACGGCCGTTTCGTCCTAGTATGGGACTCCTCAGCAGTGCGCATCCACGATCACGCTCCCGGCGAGATCCGAACCCGGGACCTATCATTCTCGCGCCAGGTGCTTAGCCAACTAAACCACTGAGCCGGCATAGTCTTGTTTTTAATTAAGGGTCAGTAAGTTTTCTTTTTCGTTGTTGTTTTTTCCCCATAAATTTCATTAAACAGAAAAATAGTTTGTTTTGACTAAGATATATTGACCATTAAGATGTTACATAATCTTAAGGTGTTAATTTCTCTCAGAAATTATCATGAGTTGCAAATAACGTGATAAACACAATTTAGACTTTAAAAAGGTCAATAGCAATGAATCAGTAAATTGTATGAGATCAACAATAAACCGGTCATACACGAACACACTATAAAATCAAGTGTTTTACTCATTTGATTGATCTAATAGATATAGGAAGTATCGGACAGCTCTTTTAATTTGATTTTGGACACCTGCATAGTGTACACATAGAATAATTCATGGGAACGAGCACAGAACCATCAATTTTTGTTGTGAGGACAGTAATTTATTTGTCGAGTTAGTGGCTGATTCCATCATTAGGCTTTAAATTGGACGAAACATATTTTGCATTATCAGAGAATAAATGAGTTTTTGAAAGAAAAGTACCTTCCCTCAGAAGCTTAAACCGGTATTTTTTTAACAGGAAACTTAGATATGTTACCATTCATATAAGAACTTCCGTCTAAATTTGAATGAATAGTTTCACAATACTTGGGCGCCGACACTAAAGAGGAAGAATATATTTGTAAAATCTCAGCGACTGAAGTCCAACATTTCGCTCGGTAATCTGGTCCAAGTTTTTTCGAGGAAATATAATCAAACATCAATATTATCGAATATAAATATGCACATAGTCCTTCGGTTAACTGTATACTAAACAGGTCATCCAATCGTGTTAACAATGTTTAATGTAAGTATTTTCTGTAGTGTCCATGAGACATGTGACATGTAACGAAGTGTTAAAATTACAATGTCAGTATAGGCTTGTGAAGATTGTTGAGTTTTAATTGAGATCATGAACCGATCAATCTTAAACCATCATTGAAAATCTGGAAGCAATAGACGGTCGTCTCTCTCCAGTATGGGACCTCTCAGCGGAGCACATACACAATCCAACACACGGAATGCGAATCCAGGACCGTCGGTCTCATGTACGAACGCTTAACCTCCAAACCACTGAGTCGAATTTCAACGGTCTTATTATCTAACTTCAACCAATCCACGATATTGTGCGAGTATCTTCCATTGTCTTCAATGTATGATTGCCTCACACTCGACACGGTTGGACTCCCCTGGTCATGGCTTCTCGAAGCTACTCACTAGTACTCCCAAATCTTCAACGGTGGTCTGACATTGATCGGTTCATTATCAAAATTATAACAGAATGTACGTATTCGTAAGTGGATCTGAGGTGTGAGGAGTTTCACTGACTATTTATCGCCTATGATCGGTGAACTTTTATAGAAAAATATAATTTCTATGTGATATGAATCAAATATGTCACAGCATGCATTAAATGAAGACAAATTAACATAATAAAAATAAATTAATGAATGTTTGTGTTATTTTTGCTGTTCCACTTAACTGTTTATCATATTCAGACAAGACAACTGATTAGAACAATTGAATGTCATTGTTGTTATTTAGATAGTAAGTGATATATCGAATGAAATAAGGAGTTCACGTTTATCTATGAATTATTAGTTGCTATGGGACAGCTAATTGTATTCCGTCTTTTCTATCAATACTATTTGGATTTGCCCATATGTATAGGGCTTCGGCTGTTAGTTTTTCTTTGTAAGAATTAATACCTTTTCGTAGGATTCTTGTGCCATTGAAATCAATTGTATGGCCCAACTCGATTAAGTGTTATGCTATCGCTGATTTGTTTTCGAGCTTTTTATATTATCTGAGGATTTAGGAATGTGCGTTAAGCAAAACTTGTGTTTCCTCACCCTCACATTCAGTGGTCATGATGTTTCAACTACATACACAGCATGACATAATAATAAATACAATCACTACATTTGATATCATAAACATATTTTTAATGTTCCTCCTTTTGCATTGGATCTTCGATTCTTAACATTTCGGATCCTAGAGTATTGTTCGTTGGAAAGAATACTCTTATATTTTAAAGATTTAGGATCCTTCCGAAACTCCTTTGCGATACGGGATCACTACCGTGTTCAGTTTACTTTTTATTATATCGTATTCGTCTTCTTAATTATTCTTTTTATAAAATCCCTAGGATAATTATTCGTCATCAAAGTGGACATAACTAAATTCGTTTCAATCTCTTTGTCACTTGATCCATTGGCGAGTTTTTGAACACTGGTTACTAAATTCTTGGCCACTATCACTTTGGTGGAATGGGCATTTGGTTAATTGTAATCTAGATATTTCCTGGAATATGTTGTCTTTCGGAATATACTAGTTTTTTTTTAAAATCATTACATTTCCTTTCAACCAAACAGTCGAGAAAACTTAATTTATGATTAGCAAATTCAATTTCCTTAGTGCATTTAATTTTGTCAGATATATTGTCGACATTTTCAAACAGTTCGTCTAATCCATCTTGTTTTTAATGACAAAAGTGTCCTCTGTGTACGTCAACCAGATTTTTAGTGTTTAATTATATTTCCGTGAGAAAGCTTGAATCAGATTACCGAGTGAAATGTTGAATTAACTTAAAATTCAATCGCTAAGATTATACAAATATATTATTCCTCCTTAACATTACCATTCAGTTGAATAGGAAACGAGAAAATCCAATATGGGAAAAAAACCATATCTACATATAATTTCAGTCAATAAATAACATTTAGTATATAATTATAATAATCAAGTGAATGAAGACTTCTTCGTCATCTCTTCAGTTTAATGAATTTACATCTTAAATCTATTTTTATGTCTTGTATTGACTGTATCGGATACCACGTAACAATCGATATACGCTTCTACTATTCAGTGATAAATGTAATCCATCTTTGGGTAAATGACTGCATTGTGGAAATTCGAGTTACTATATTTTATTCAATGGAATAGTAATTTATCAAAACAACAGAAACCATGTTTTGAGAAAGTACATAATGCTGAAAGACAGAAATGTTTAAAAATACGAATAATTCGTACTGACTGGGACTCAACGGTTGTAATTAACTTGAGTCCCAGTGTATTTGTCATCTCTTCCACAAAGACTCGGACCCACAAGCTAGCATTTTAAGTATCAAAATGATGTCTGTTAGACAATGGAGTTAAGTTCCAGTGCTCGATCAGTCACAGTGAGAACAATAATAGTTAGTGAGATATAAGTACGTTCAGCAGACATTCCAAATAGGATGAAATGGATGTCTTGTATAACATAAATGTACTGTAAACCACTTGAAATTTCACTCTAACAACTTATAATTACCGTTACCAGATTATTTTGATCTCACGCCTGTATTATTGAAATCGATTCTGTTCACTATTAAACGTCAGTCAGCTACAAGGTAGGACCAGGCACATGTGTGCATCGCTCCAAGTTGCCATACGTAAGAGCAGTCTATGAGATTACATAGCCTTTGGCTCACATTTTCTCTCGCTCAGTTCCTCTAAAACATGGTACTCTTCACACTACCCCAAAGACATTACGTAACTCCACACTATACTAAAACCTAACAAAGACTGAACGTTATAATATCAATATAAGACTGCTGAATAAACACCAATTATTATCGAGAGAATACGAACACGTGCATAGATTGCACTTTCATGACCTGATATCATTCCTAGATTGGCGTTAACCTGAATAGTTTAGTGGTGCCGTCTTTAATTGAGACGCTTGGCTTGAATCCCACAGGAATTATCGTCAAGATTCCAAACATGACCAGGTGACAAATGTTCAGCACTACAAAACCTAGGTCTACGCTGGCTTCTGATTGCCTACAACTACTTAAAGTCGAGAGTGTAGTGTCCAAAAACTTAGGCTATTATTTGCAATGCAACTTGGTCTACAGCACCCAATCAGCAATAAATACTAAACAAATACGGCACTGACACTACGTACGACTAGCTAGTCACTTAGTAGTAACCAAAGTGATACGACTTCTTACGAACTACTTACAATAAATAGAACGGTAACCATAAAATAATCATCTTAAGCTAAAATGTTTATCAATCTCATGGTTGTCCATAAGCACTCCTTTACGCAAAGCATTGTGTTTAACAACTGACAGGATAGGCATATGTCCGTTAATGTAGTTCCTCATATAAGGACCCTGGTCAACCGTTCTAAACAGAAAGACATTGTCATACAAACTGTGTTAACTTCTCGTTTATCCTGAAATCATGCTAAATTGATGTAGAACTTCCTGTAGCACAAAAATTAACTTACCACTTCTAGGCATCCTATTTATGCTTACTCATTTGACTTTCACAAGTTTGCACTTACACCAAGAATGGTAACAGAACCCAAAGATCCTGACTATTAGTTATGTGAGGTGGCCATTAGCGTATCTCTACCGTGAGTCCGATAATTTTCGGCCATATTATTCTTGTTAAATTTGTGAAGTAAGATCCTAAAAAATAAGTCACCTACTTATCTATGGAACAAGCCAGGTTTGTATATCAGGATTAAAAACTATGAAGTAGCGATCGAAATCCCTAAATCTAATATTAGATCACTACCACGCAGAAATCTTCCTAATTCACAGGTACTTTTCAAGCCACTATGTTTCTGAAGGGAACAACTTCTAGAAATAACACTAAACGCAGAATCAGTCCAGAAAAGACATCCCTGACAAGAATTAGTTTTAATTACATAAAACTTCAGTACACTAACTGAGACCATTCGGTATAATTCTGAGAACATGCAGTAATAAGACAGCCAATTTGAGATTTAATGCATAGCCGCAAGCGATATCTGACCAACTGAATAAACTAGTATGATGGACAACAGCATATGTTTTGATGAATTTGAAATACAGAAGGCGAACCAATCTAACAAGCACTTCTGAACCAGTCTAGACGATGGAGGGTGTTGGAGCTGCAGTCAGTATTGATCTCGAGGTATAAGTCTGCTATTGATTCCATGTTATAAGTTTGGGAGAACTACTATCATACGAACTTTGAGAGAGGAAGTTCAGTGTCCTGATCCACACTATCTTAAACTATATACTCCGACATCCGGGAACTCAGATCTGATAATAACACGTTTTTGATCGGTGACAAGGATTTACACCGACACTCTAAACTCTTGCAGTCCCGCTTAATATGAGAATATTCGTTCCCTAAAGAATAGGACCACTCTATTAGGTGCTCAGTCTTATTAGCAGGTAACAATCGGAAAGAATTGAGTCGCCAGCTGTGTTCAGTTTAACAGTATATATGGCCTTGGACAAAACAGCCTCCAGTGCTTTATTTCTTCACACATCTTAGGACGTCCCGAAGGTACGGTGGCCTCAAAAATGAGTAGTCTTGTCCCCACACACGTGAAACCAACCGAGTATCTAAATGTGGAGGCTTGTTATATCTGCAACTGGCAAGTTACTAAACCATACCACGACACGTGAACCAATCGATCCCAAGTTAGTTTAACTTTCCTTGGGTATTGAACACGGATGCACACGTCCAATCCTAAGTTACGTCGTCAACGGCCATAAGAACCCCTTCAACTAACAAATCCTATCCCATTTATTAAGGTTATCGGCCATAGTGTTGCTGAAAACTTCAACAAACCAGGCTAAAGTATTCGATCGATATCTATCAAACTAACCTGAGCGCTTCAGCAATAGGCACGATGGCGTCCACGTAAGGACGATTATATCGGTACAGCAAGCAATATGGACGAAACAATGATCTCCAAGACCAACATTGTTATGACGCTGGTTCAAACGAAACGACTTACAAATGCAAACACCACGCTGCTTACCAACAGAATGAAATAAAGCTTATAAACAGTGTATTCGATAAAAAATGTTACAGTAGCCATCGTTTTACAAATGCAGGACGGCCCGTTAGGTTTAAAAAGAAACATCTGTAAACAATATAAAATAACACCATCTGTATACAGCAATTGTACGTCAAACATTAGTTTTTAAAACTATTAAGGACTAATCGTCGGACTCTGAATCTTCTGTCTTGGACTTTTTGCCGGCTTTGTATTTTTGCATCGCCTAGAAAGTGTAAAAGTTACTTAAAATCAACCTACTTTCTCGTAACGTTGCTTCTCTACCTGAGCTAAGCTCTCATACTTAGCTTTGTTTTTACAATGCTCCCATCTTTTACCTAGTTCTTTAGCTACCTCACTGACTTTCCAGTCGGGATTTTCTGATTTGACTTTAGGTCGTTCATCATTACAAAATAGGAAAAATGCTGACAGCGCCTTTTTGGGTGCATCAGGGTCTCGTTTCCTTTTCTTACTGCGACCTTCATCGGCAGGAGGTTCATAATGTTCCATCTCACATCGATAACGCTCTTTGTCCTTCTCTGCTATATCCTTGAACTTCTTTTTTTCTTTAGCCGATAGATTCTGAAATACAATAAACTACGAACACATAACGTACCTTCCACTGTTCTGAGCACTCCTTTGAAAAAGCCTTGAAATCTAGAGTGACATTGGGATGTTTCTTCTTATGGTCGGCACGCATAGATTGCAAGAATGCTGCATAAGCATTCATAGCACCTTTTGGTTTACCCTTGTCTTCAGCCATCTTTGCTGAGCTGGTTGAATTCAAAAGGCTAGTCCAGAAGGCCGGACAAACTCAAACGGCCCTAATTAGACTAAGTACGAACAAAGCAGTATCTGGTGTTCAAAAGACAATGTCTTATTTCAGTAGTTGAATAAATCAATTATCTTTATCTAATTAGCTAATGTCCAAACTTGGTGAGTTACACCTAGTAATGTCATCGTCTGTAGTGTCAGTTATTATGGCATGCCCATGTACCTTATTCTAACTTCCGGACATCCTATTTTATTCATTTTACTTGAGCCATATTTTGACCTTGTCATTTATTCGCTTATCAACTAGACTGTTTTTATATGAGCGTATATATGTGTGCACTTCTTATTTCATTAATCACATGTCTGTACCTTTAATTTGTCTGCCTATAAATATTGAGTAATGTTCGGCTTGAATTGGAGTTGGCTTCCCAGCCATCTTCCATACGTGTCATTCTTGTTTTGCTATGTCCCATTCGTTTCATATACAAAATATATGTATTCACGAATCGATTCTCGTTATTCGACTTATTTAATTCCGTTATTGGATAACGCGATCTAAGTCGACGATGATAAACGAGAAAAGGCAATAGCAAACATACGTACACACTAAATGGAGTCAGATCCACGGGCCACATCACGTCTAAATGAGATGAATCCGATTTTCGAAAAAGTAAGCAAGTATGGGAGGAACCAGAGGTGATTAATAGAACATGGCTCAGGAGGATTACTCTTAACAAAGTATACCAGAATCATCAGTCACATTGATTTATATTAAACGAAGTGAACGTAGTTCGGTGGTATCTCTTTACAACAGTATATATATTAAGGATGGTCAGAAACAGATAGTATCTAACTACCGGCCTGTCAGTCTAACTAGCATTGCTGTTAAGTTACTTGAAAAGATAATTCAGGTTACGTTGTTAAGCCACATAGATTTACACAATCTCTTAACTCTCGAGCAACATCGGTTTCGTAACAAGCGTTCATGCTTGACTAACTGATTGCGAGAGAGGATAGGACAGCAGACCTAGGTAACGGTCTGTGATATTCATAGATTTCAGCGAAGCATTTGACAACATTTCACACTCAGGTCTTATGCAGAAGCTTTCGAGTTTCGGAACAACAGGTGCTATACAGGAATGGATAGGAAACTTCTTACGTGACCGCAGACAGAGAGCCAGGATCAATGGAACGCTATCCGAACGGAGGCCGGTCAAAAGTGATGTACCCCAAAGCACCATCTTAGGCCCTCTGCTCTTCTCTACGTTAATGAGTTACCACTGTTGCCTAAGTCGTCGACATTATTGTTTTCACATGACGTAAAAATCTGGAGAACAATAAGAAGTGAGGCTGGTCATTTAGATCTCCAAGCTGAATTAGACGATTTAGTTAGACGGGCTGGAGGTTGAAGCTTGGAAGTTAATTCTACGAAGAGTGTACTCATGCACATCGGACATGGTAATAGTTACCATTATACTAATGATGGTACATCTCTTCCACGCGTTCAAGAACATGAAGACTTAGAAGTAATAATAAGCCATGACTTGAAAAAAACTACGCATTGCAATGCAGCTGTTGTCAAAGGTTTTCGTGCGTTATGGTCACTTCGCCTAGCATTCAAATGCTGTGACGAGGAAATGTTTCGAATTTCATATTTCACCTATGTAAGACCACACTTAGAGTACTGTACCAAGTAACTGGTCCATGTCTGATAAAGGATACTAACTCACTTGAGCGTGTTCAGCGTGTGGGAACAAAATTAGTGAAGGGTCTTTCCAAAGTCCTCTACGATAAGCCTAAACATGTGCGCACCGTGATTGGCAATATAATCATTTTAAATTTCTGATGTTACCGAGACTCTAAACGTGAACATATCCTGAGCCATCAAAAGTATTAAACACTTAAAATAACAAAATCCCCAATCAACACTATAACTAGTTGGTCATAATAGATTATGTACATAGTCATGACTCAACCATCACGCAATATGATTAACAAAATTGATGGAACTATTAACAGAAGCTCGGCCGATAAATTGACTGGTAATTTTCATTGAACATGGTTGATTTCTTGTGTTTTTCATTATCTAGCACAGATGATTTCGGTGTATTTTTCTGACAACACACTTTATTCGTTTAATTGGAGATCTGACAAGATAACCATCCGGGCAAATCGTTAACGTAAGCAGTCAAGCGAACCTCCTCCAAACTGAAAACATCATTGTTGAATGTACCCTAACACTGACAAGAGTTTATCTCATTGTGGTCGGAATTCAATATAATTCAATATAATCCTTAAACTTCGTACACAGTTCGTCTTGATAACCGTCACCAGATAACACCCCAACGGTGTATTAATCAGAAGGCGAATACGAAGTGTTGAATACGTTTATTATGGGACCACACACAGATATCCAAAATTACCGGTGCGTTAAGCTAGCATGAAAGATTTTTGCCGAAAAGCAAGTAGGCAAGCGGGCGAGCGAGTCAGCAACTCATATGTATTTGTAATATTGCTAAATCCCATGCATAGTAGAACTGTCTCGATATTCGTATGGAAGATCCTAACTTTGATGTCGGTTGACAGTCGTTCTGAGTTCCACGTGTTCTTCGGTTGTAGAGGTGCTTCCCGTGCTTTGCCAACCCTTGCCTTCAGATTCTCATCAGATCCTCCTTGTTTATCAATGAAGCAGTCCAGGAGCGAGAAACATTCTACCTGTTCCAGAGTTTCTCCATCAACTGTGACCGAGTTGGTGCCACCTGTCATATTTTGCGATCTTTTTCCACTTTTAAATGTCGAGGCCTGCTGGTACACTGGTTTTCCTCACCTGTGTTTGCTGCTGCGTATGAGATAGAAGAACCAGATCATCTATGAAGTTCAGATCGTTTAGTTGCATCCAAGATGTTCATTTTATTCTATACTTCCCCCTCAGATATCGAGGCCTTCATGATCCAGTCAACTACCAGACGAAACAAAAAAGGCGAAAGTAAGCAATTTTGTCTGACTCCAGTCCTCACTTTGAATAAGTCTGTCAGCTGTCCTCCACCCATGACTTTGCAGTATAGTCCGTCGTACAAAGTTCGGATTACGTTGACGGTTCACCCAGGTACGCTAGTGTCGAGGAAGGTTCCATAATGTTCTGTTCACAGCCAGCTGCTTTCTCATAGTCAAGAAAGTTGAATTACAGTGACAAATTTTATTCAATCTATTGTTGGTCTGTGAACGACCGACCAAAAGGAATCCAGCCCGTTGATCCCGAGTTTGGATTTCTACTGAATCTTTCATCCGGTTAACCATGTTTCCACGTACTTCTGTAGAATTATGGTCTACTTCATTGTGGTTGCACCACAGGATTGAGCTATACTATTCAGATTATAGCGTTGAAGCCTATACGGTGTCTGGTTCTCCTGTGAATCGAGATTGAGCTGTACTGCTCGGTTTATAAAATGTAAGCCTGGGTGATGTTTGGCTATTCTGCTAAACAGGGTTGAGCTTTATTGTTTGGGTTGTCATGTGAAAGTCTGGATGGTGTTTGGTTCTCCTGAAAACCAATGTAAAATTACCCTGGCCCACAAAGGTATATTATGTAACTGTCAGAACTAACTCGTTATTAATGCTGCTCTAGTAATATACCTAATCCTAAAATTGCAGGTTCGTCATGATGTAACTGCCTAATCTATAAGATCTTACGTGAGTCACATCATTGTCTGCAATGACTCATCATATCGTAACAATTACCAATATATAATGGATGATACATTCAGGCTGGAAATAGAACAATATATTTAATGTGAGTGAAAGCAAGTTGTACAGAGCTACCACGCCCTCGAGGCTGAGCCATGACATTCGATTAATTCGAATCAAATGAATTCATTCTACCCACCTCCATCATCATTGGGTTTTCTATGAGTTAAATATCGAATATGTATTTTCCCAGTTGTTTCGAGTTCAGCTTTGTGAATCGTGTGGTTAGGGCCCAGTGCCACCACACTCCTAGGCCTGACTTCAGTACTTTATCTAGTATAATCTCTGGTCCTGCTGTCTTCCCACCCTTCATTTTTCTGATGGCCATCCAGACGTCTTCGTCTGTAAGTGGAGCAGTGGAATTATGGTTTGTTTCGGCATAATTACATTTATCTTCGCTAATATAATAATAGACCTAATCTCAAAAATGTGAGTTTATCATGATATAAAAGTCTAATCTATAAGACCTTAGGCGGAGATCACTTAATTATTCACAGTGACCCGTCACATTGTGAGGATCAACGATATAACGTTCAACACTTCTGAAGAACATATTTAGACTGGGTAACGAGTAATATATTTAATACAAAACGTCTTAGGTTTTCTATAGAGTGACCACGCCTGCATGACTGAACCGTGCCATTTTGATTCACTGTTCCTAAGTTCACGATTATCGACCTACTCCATGCGTTACATATTGAATGTCAACCTTCCTAGTAATTATTATTTAGCCATGAGAGAATCATGTGATAAAGAACCAACACCACTACACTACTCTCTCACCAGAATCAAGGTGACGTTGGTTCTATATCAAATAGAGTGGGATTATTGAGCACCGGAGATTACCGAATGAACAAACCCCGGGTATTGATAAGCTGAAAGATAAATCATAGAGAAGGCGGCAACAGTTGGTCAAGAAATACATGTAATGACTTCAAAATATTTGGAATAATTCTCAGCATACTCAAAATGGGAATATACGTAAATGTTATTTGAGCGTTAAACAAAGTGGGAATGAAGGCAGAATACATCATTTGGAAATTGTCATATGTGAATTGAGAATTGTTTTATAAAATCAATTCAGATCGTTAATGTTGGAGCTGTTTAATATGAAGTGTTAACTTGAATTAGTTTATAAGCGAAATGAAATTGTGCGATAAATGATCAGAATAAATATGGTCAACACGGGGTTATGGAAAATAATGGAATAAAAATCGGAAATTACGTAATATGTAGAATAATATGAATTAGGTCAGATAAAGTAGATTCGGGGGTGGATATTGAATAAATTCCTCGAAAATGTATCAAGTCTAAGGATAATAATAACAGTAATAATAAGGATAACAATAGCAATAATAATGGGAATGTCATAGTGAAGAGTGGTATTGTACAAAGGTATCTTAACAA